CATTTCTTCTCCTCCATTAAAAATGTTAGCACTGCATGATCATACAGCTGCTTCTAATTGCTCAAATCAAATTAACTTTCTTGGGTTTTTTTGTACCCTTGTGTTGATATTTCAAAATAACTATTTGGCTCTGGTATTATCATCAGAAATGCTTGAAAGTTTTCTATTTTATTAAAAGAAGTAAGCCTGTATCCTTTGCTTTTTAGAATATTGCTTCCAAAGGACCCCTCTCATTGATGGTGGAATCCTGCCTTTAGTTATCTGTCATTAAACTACTTTCTGGACACTTGCAGAATTTTTTCATTGCTATGGGAGTTCTGGATTTTGGATATGCCTTTCTTGGTACTTTTCTATTTAGCGTATCTTTCAGGAAGAGTCTGGTGGATTTTACCTTTATTTTGCCCTGTAGTTCTAATGGAACTGGACAGTTTTGATTTGTTATTTCTTGAAATATATTGTTAGGAGTTTTTACAAATACGGTTTTCAGAGTATAATGAATCGTATGTTCTTTTGCCTGTTATATTTTTGATCTTTGATTTGGCTATAATATTTTAGTCTTACGGAGCTATTGCTTTCTTTCTGGTTGAGTTTCCAGTAAGTCTGTACTAGTAAAACGTTTACCACTTTCTCTTTCTCAGATATTCTACTTGAGATGAATGAAAAGTCTGAGAGATAGTTTCTGGGCAGTTAATAATCAATTTATTAATTATAGCTAGAAAATAAAAAATTGAGGTCAGTGGTTCTTTTGGAAACCAAAGATGAACCTTGGAGACCAACAAATTGTTAAATACCTCTGGAAAAAAATGTTGTCCCTAATCACTCTGATTGGTTAACAATTAATGGGAAAATGAATAGTACATTGAGAGGTGGCCTTATTCTAATGAGGGGCTGGGGGATGTGACTCTGATGAAGTCAATGCTCTTGGACAAAGAGAGTCATCTCAAGCTAGACCATTCCACCTCCAGCAATTTATACAAAACATCTATTTTCCACCCCAGACCTTCCTGAGTAGAATAATGATATAATGGTGGGATAACAGTAAGAATTCCACCTAAATAAGATGATCTGAGTGGGGTGAATTCTTTGGGTAAGGTCAGAAATCTCCTTGAGAAACTGGGCTTTGAATGAGGGGAAGTAAGCAAAAAAAGGATATTTAAGTCTATATATGAAATTGGTTATTAATATAATAAGAAAAGAATAACTTTCCTTATATTTCTTTCAGAGATTTTATTTCAGTTTTACAAATCTATGTTTTTCTTCTAGGTATTCATATAGTCTTTATGGGAAATCATTTTTTTTTCTTTTGACTTATCTCCAACTCCTGCAGTTTTAAAAGAGTTGTTTATTGTAGGGTATCTCTAGATGTGCTCTAAACACATATGTATATTCATTCATTTATATGTGTCTCTGTGTTAGTTTGTGTGTTTTTGATTTGGTTTTGGTCATCTTGTCAGTTTTAGTTCCTGAATTAGGGCTTTGTGCCTAGGACTAGGCTCCCTCCTCCACCGCTGCAGTTCTGGATGGGATGATCATCCCTGCTTAGTCTATCCATGGGTATCCAGGATTCCTATGCCAACCTCCAGGCCCTGGGGTTAGTCCTCCCAGCATCACTGAGGTTCAGAGTATTAGACCTTCATGGACATCTATGGTATCCCAGTACAAAGTACTGGTCCCGGGCTGTCCTCTTTGGAGTGCCATAACAGTGCTGTCATCAGTGCTGGTCTCTAGAACTCTTCTGTTTCCCATTTTTACCACTGTCGACTTTTTGACCTCCCTGGGTCTTTCTCTTGGAGACCCTTTGCTTTTGGTTTCTCTGGACACATAGCCTTGCTGGATTTTCTGGTTGGATAGGGAGACTGCTGGCTTATTTGCCTACATTGAGATTGGTATTGCTGATGGCTACCTTTTGTATCTCCTGTGGGATTCTGGTGACTTTTTGTGAAGTTCTGGGGCATAAGAAATAACTTACTACAGTTTCTTGTGGTATTTAAAAATAAATATTAGTTCTGGTATGAATTTCAGGCTTTTTCTAGAGTAAATGTAAGAGAACTAGGATGGGGGAGGTATCTGACTCCTTTTGGAGTCCATCAGCACTCCTAAGCATAGCCTAAACTAGATTAAAATGTCATTAGGAAATACTTAACAAAACAAATAAAAATTTGATAAAACATAGATAACATTACATTTTAGAACTTAAGTCAATGTGTAACCCCCAGAGATCCTTATGTATAGTTTAATGGAACCCATTTCTATTTGAGTTTGACACTACTGACTTATATCACTGGCAATGTGCTTCATAGATTTAATGTGCTTCATAGATTCACCACTCACAAGGACATAACTAAGAAAAATACTTAATAAAGGTGGTAAAAATAAATGTGAGATGTTAAATCTTAGTCTTCAATTGCCGATTTAGCCCAAACTCCCTAAATTAGGAGGAAGGAAAAAACCCTGATGTTAGTAGTTAGCTCAGTTGCCAATTGAATAGTAATTCTAAATTTTTTTTGCATATGTTATGGACACATTTGAGAGCCTGGTGAAGCCTATAGACCCTATAGACAAGCTATAGAAAAAATATTTTAAGATATCAAAATAGAATACATAATACTGAAAAAGAAACCAATTACATTAAAATACAGGCATAAAATAAATGATGATAACAGCATTTATATAGCATTAGAGGTTTGCAAAATGTTTTTTTTACAAATATCTCATTTTATCCTCACAATAACCTTGAGTAGTAAATGCTATCATTATCTTCATTTTACAAATGAAGAAACAGAGGCAGACAGAGGTTAAGTGGCTTTGCCCATGATCACACAGCCAGTAATTATCTGAAGCTGTATTTGAACTAGGGCTTTTCTGACTCCTGGTTCTGTGCTCTAGTCAGCATATGCAATAGAAAATACATACTAGCTTATCACTGCTTTAAAAAAAAACAAACCTAAATATCATTTTATTTTAATCTGCATAATCTCTCTTCTACTACCCCAACCTTCAATTGAAAAAGCAACAAAAACAAAACACTTATCACAAATATGTAAAGTGAAGCTAAACAAATTTCCTGATGAGCTATATCCAAAAAAATGGTCTCAATCTAAGTGTTCATCTTGTTTCATCTTGAGTCCTTTGATACTGTGATTGGAAATTGTGTTGACTATAGAGTTCTTAGTATTTCAAAGTTGTTTGTCCTTCCAATATTGATTTTATTGTATAAATTGTTCTCCTAGTTCTGTTCATCTCACTCTACATCATTTAATATAAGGCTTTCCAGTTTATGACACAATAATATTTCATCATATGTGTGTGTATCATAACTTGTTTGGCCATTGCCCACTTGATGGGCACTGCTTTAATTTCCAATGATTTTACATCACAATGACAGTTGTTATAAATATCTTTGTACACATTGATCCTTTTCCTCTTTCTTTAATCTCTTTAGGATATAGATTTAGCAATGATATCACTTATTCTAAGGCTATACTCGGTTTATTTTTCAAAACATTTTAATTTATTTCATTAAATATTTCCCAATTACATTAAAAAAAACCTTAACATTGATTTTTAAAAGTTTTGAGCTCCAAATTCTTTCCCTCCTCTCTAGCCCTCCCCCTCCACTTGAGAAGGCAAGGAATTTGATATCAATTATAAATATGAAGTCATCTGAAACATTTCCATATGAGCCATATTGCAAAAGAATGCACAAAAACAAGAAAATAAGGAAAATAAAAGAAAGATATACTTCAATCTGTACTCAAAGTTCATCAGTTCTTTCTCTAGAGGTGGATGGAATTTTTCATAATGTCCTTTGTAATTGTCTTGGATCATTGTCTTGATCAGGGTGGCTAAGTCTTTCACAATTAAGCAAACTTACAATAGATCTGTTTCTGTGTACAATGTTCTCCTGGTTCTGTTTACTTCACTTTGCATGAGTTCATACATGTCTTCAAAGGTTTTTTTTTTCTGAAATCATCCTGCTTGTCATTTCTTGTAATACAACATTATTCTATTATAATCATAAATTACAGCTTGTTCAGCCATTCCCCAATTGATAAACATTCCCCTCTATTCTAATTCTTTACCACCACAAAAAGACCTGTTATAAATATTTTTGTATGTATGAGTACTTTTACTCTTCTTTGATCTCTTTAGGATACAAACACAGTAGTGTTATTTCTGGATCAAAATATTTTTCTTTTTCAGTTCCATAACTGACTATTAGCCTTTCTGGGAATCTTGGTTGAGAGATGTGAAAATCCATCTGACTATTGGTCATTGAGTAGGTGGACAGGGAGGGGGAGGTGCTCTTTCCCGCACTTTGATAGTATTATTTCTATTCTTCTTCATGGTAACAATATGCAAAACACTTTAGTCCAGTTTCTTGTTTTTCCACTTACAAGCTGTGTGACTTGGAGTGAGTCACATCAACTTACTCAGGTTCAATTTTCTTATCTGCAAAAATGCATTCCCTTTTCTCCACAGCGTTTTTGTTATGAAAGTGTTTTCTAAAGCTTGATGGAGAAGTGAGATATTATTAAAAAATGTTTGCTGTCTTACTGTAGGCTTGGTAGCTATTCCCTGAGGACAAGTTCCCTTCAATGAGAAGGAAGGAAATAACTTTCCACTATGCCTATGAAATTCTACTTTTTTTGGTGTGGGGAGAGGAAGATACACTGATTCCCCATCCTACCACAATCAGCCCACATCAACATTTAAAAAATATTTATGTTCTGTTTTTGGTGAGGCAATTGGGGTTATGTGACTTGCCCAGAGTCACACAGCTAGTTAGTGTTACGTGTCTGAGGCTGGATCTGAAATCAGGCCCTCCTGACTCCAAGGCCAGTGTCTATCCACTGCACCACTTAGCTGCCCCTAAAAATATTTATGTTCTTAATGGAAATTTTACATAAACACATGTGTTTATATACAATTATTATTTTCATATACAATTATTATCTTTCAGGAGATCTTACTTCACTTTTTTCTTGCTATTCCCCTGGTCATTTGGAAGGGAATGATACAATCAAGTTGTTTCTTACCTCAGGGAACTTGGTAAGTTACAATCACAGAATATATTAATTATTCTTCCCCTTTTGGATATCTAGAGTTATAATCAATAGGATTACTTTCTATTCAACTCTATTCAACCATTTTCAGGGTCTGGAAAAGAGATTGTGAATGAATGAATGAATGAATGAATGAATGAATGAAAATTTTCCTTGGCTTATGTACCCTCTCCTATCTTATAGCTTTAATTATCACAAAAAGCACAATATTGTCCATAAGATATACCTAGTTTGAAATACACAAAGAAACAGAAAGATAAAATGAAGGTGTGAAAAATATTCAATTATTTGTGAGACAGCATGGTGAAGTAGGAAGGGCTCTGGATTTAGAGTCAAACTAACTTATTTCAATGGCTTGGACATGAGCCAATATTCTATGTTCCAATATTCTATAGGTATGTACATCACTCCCTAGTAGAAGAATGCTTATTTAGAGTTATGGAGCCTATGTTCAGGTCATAGCTCTACTATTTGTTTTACGTGAAGCCTTCGGTAGGCCACTTACCTCTATGACTCAGTTTCCTCATATATAAATGAGGAATTTGAACTACATTATATTTGAGATCCATTCTCTACTTCCTAGGATCCTATGTTAGGAATAAGTTGCATGAAAACAAGACTGCTAGGGAAAAGGATGTTGTGGTTAAGTTTCGTAGGTACAATGGACAATTGGCCAAACAATGTTACAACATTGTTTTGCAAATTCATGGCAGGATTTGATTGTGACATATTAACACAATTATTGTGAAATCATACTAGGACCAACAACATTAGGTATACCTACTTACATTGGGCCACAGAATATTTATCCAGTCTCCTTGTATGCTCATAACTTGTACAAAAGTAGTATGCTAAATTTGATTTTTCATTTTGATTAATTCAGAGTTTGAGTTTTTTCATAAAAGAGTGACCCACTTTATCTATAGCAATTTCCTTTAGTTAGATATTGAACTTGATTTAAAGAAAGACCAGAATTTAAGAATATGGAAAGAACCAAGCAGCATCATTTGACACATTTGGTCCTTAAAGTTAGAACAACACATTTTTTTTATCACATTATTTGAAAAGCCTTTAGAACACTAATGAATATTAGTGTTCTAAATGGAGAAAAAGGTCATCAAGTATGAAGCAGAAATATTTAAGCCTAATCAAGTTTCAAGTGTCTAAAAAATATTCGCATCAGTTGACATGCTTGATCCTTCTGGTGGTAAGCTAAGATTGCTCTGATCTCTGGATGCCAATCTCCACAAGTAAAATTATTATCTAATGTTATCCTATTGATTCTATTAAAGAATTTTAAAAGAACTCTATTCTAGATTACCTTCTTATCCTTACCTATCACTTATTAATAGATGAATTTGATGTGCTTCTTTCCTCTAACCTTTCTATCCACACAGAGATTTAATATTTTGATTTTTCTTTTTTAAAGGTAGTTGAATGTTATTTCTCACTAAAGACAGATCTTTGGATATCAAAGAGAACCTTATAAAACTGTTTACATCAAGAGGACTTGCTCCCACTTTTAGAATCATGAATAGTACTTATTCTGGCGTCTTTCACTTCAATTTATCTATGGTAATTTCAAAAATACCTTTCTCTGTAATATTTTTTTTAGCAGTGAACATATTCTGTAGGATTAACATGATGTGTTTTTTTTTCTTTTAAGGGGAAGTTTGATAATGTTTTTGTTGTTAGAAGAGTATGTTGTTACTAAAAGGGGAGGGAAAGAAATGAAAAGGAATGGAAGAGTAAGCAGGAAGAAAGACAGGAATTATTATTAGAAATAGATTATTTAGGTAAGGATAATAATAAAGAAATGAGCCCAACCTGAATAGTAAATAACAGAATCTAAATGGAAGGAAGTCCACTTCCCTAAGTTGGGATCAATGAAATATCCACCTCCTATAGTAGAATTTGGTGGTGGTACATTTGTGCTTGCTTTTTGCATAGCTTTGCAGAACAATGGCCACTTGAGTTGTTGGTAATCAAGTAGTCATACAATCCAACTATTTGATAAACATGCTTATCAAAGCTCAACATGGAAAACTCAGGTGACTTATAGCAATCCATTTGGAACTTATATTCTAAGGCAATGTAATATTTTTTCCTGACCACCTGAAGAGCTGATCTGATACCAAAAATGAGGATTCTTTGCACTTGATAATCAGTTAATAATTATTTATTACATGATGGTAGTGTGCCAGGCATGAGCTAAGCACTGGTAATATAAACACAAAAATGAAATGGCCCTCTTCCTCAAGAAGCATACATTCATTACATTCATGTAAGTACATAAAGAAAATTTAAAAACTAATACAAGGTTATATTTTAGGAACAGGCACTAATAGTTGCTAACAAGAAAGGTCTCTTGTAACAGATAGCTTATAAGGTGAATTTTCAAAGAAGCTATGGATTCTATGAGGTGTAAGTGAGGAAAATGTTCATTCCGGGCACGTATAACTGCCTGTATAAAGACACAAAGGTGGGAGGTGTTTTGCCATGTGTAAAGAACAATAAGAATATCAGTTCAGATGGATTGTGGAATGTATAATTTATAACAAGCCTGGCAAAGTAGATTGGAACCAGGTTGTGAAGGGCTCTAATGCTTGCAAAGATGACTTTATTTTATCCTCAAGGCAACTGGAAGCCACTAGAAGTTCTTGAGAAGAGTAATGACACAGTCAAGGCTGTGTCTAGAAATATCACTTTGGCAGCTGAGTGGAGGATGGATAGGATAGGGGAGAATATTGAAAAAGGGTGACCAATTAGGAAACTATTGTAATAGTCCAGGTAGAAGGTCACAAAGGCATGACTTACTATTGTGACCATGTGAATAGAGAGAACAGATGTGAGAGACGTTATGGAAACATCATCAATGGTAGCTAAATAGATTCACAGTGTAAGGGAGAGTTTGGAGTTGATGATGACTTGAAGATCACAAGCCTGAATGACTGGAAGGAAGCCGGTGCTCTTGAAAGTCAGTCAGTCCATAAACATTTATTAAGCACCTATTATTTACGAGTAACTGTGCTAAGTCCTGAACATACAAAGACATGTAAAGTTCTTGTTTTCAGGAGCTCACAGTCTGAAGGGGAAGAAAACATATAAGCAACTATGTACAAATACTCTACATACAGGATAAATTGGAAACAATCAACAGAGGAAAGGTACTAAAATTGAGGGAAACTGGGAGAGGTTTCCTATAGAAGGCAAGAATTTAGCTAGTACTTAAAGGGTGCCAATGGATGACAGTTGGTGGAAATTCCTAAAGTTGAGAGATGGAGTTTCTCATCAAAGGAATAGCAAGGAGGTTAATGTCAATAGAGTGCAGAGTATGAAGGACAGGAACAGAAAAATTTGGTAGAAGGATGAGTTTTTGGGGTAAGATAATGAATACTTAAATTTGAGATGTCCTAATACAGAACCTTGAGGTATACATCTAGTTAGGAGGTCTAATATAGATGATATCCAATGCTTAGCACAGTGCCTGGAATATAATAGATGCTTAATAAATGTTTACTGACTGACCAACTCAATAGGAATGGTCTTATAAATGGTCTTATAAGGAGTCAGTCAATCAATAAGCATTTATTAAGCACCTACTATCTGCCAGACATGGTGTTAAGTGCTGGGACTATAAAAAAAAAAATTAAAAAAACAGAGCCTGCTGTCAAGGAGCTCAAAGTTTGGGGGAGAAGAAGAACAACAAGATATAGGAAAAACAGGAGATAATGAACAGAGGGAAGGCTCTATCAAGGAAAAGCAAGAAAAAGCCATGTCACAAAATCCTAGAGAGGATAAGAGTATCTGGTAAGAAAGGGGTGTCAGAGAGGTTAAATAATGCAAAGAGTTTAGTTAATAATGTGGATTAAACAAAAATCATCAGATTTAGCAATCAAGTGATCATTGTTAACGTTAGGGAGAGAAGTTTCTGGTGTGATGAAATCAGAAGACACACTACAAGAGGTTGAGAAGTGGATGAGAGGCAATAAAGTAGAGGCAATCAGTATAGACAATTTTCTAAGAATTAATTGATGAAACAAGATCTAGTTTGAGGGAACATTTGGTTCAAATCAGGCTTTTTTTTTTTAATGGTGCAAAACTATCATGTTGGCACATTAAGCTTAATGATTGCAATGCCCATGGTGAAAACTGGGTGTTAGGTATACATCCATGGTATGTGGAACGAATACTAACTTGGAGTTAGGCAAATTGGGTTCTACTTCTAACTCTCACACTCACACACACATAGTGATGCTTAAATCACATATCCTCTCAGCCTCTGTTACTTAAACTATAAAAATAGTGATTTGAAGGATAACTGAAACGTAGCCTGTGTCCTCCATTGAAACTGTGCAATATCAAAAGAAGTATAGGAACCCTCTGCCTTGCCATTTTGGATAGGCCCCTTTCGAGAGATTTATGTGAGGACATGTACAAGAACCACAAGGGGAGGAAGGCATAGTTAGATTCTGATCCACATCACAATTGCCAACACTGGAAAAATAAAAAATCCACTGAAGTGTCATTATTGTGTACCATACAATATTTTAATTATTGTTGAGGAGACAAATTTTGGATTAATTCATTTGTGAGCTCATCCTTTTTTTTTCATTTATCTTTCTTCCTTTACTGGTTTAGCAGAGTTAACATTCTATTATTGACTAACTAAAAATAGAATGTTTAGGTACCGAGTTGTTTAAAGTTTCTTTTATGTAATTATAGTATCAAACATATCAAATTAAGCTTCATAATTAGGATTATAAAACCTTTCATGTCATCTTTATTAATGCCTCAGGTGTCAAGGGAGCCAGACCAATGATAGTTTCAAGAATGGTCTCCCTATGCCTTTAAGAAAAAGCCCAAACTACATAAAACAGATAGCACTCCTGCCATAGATACCCATGCATTAAGAGAACCAGAAGAAAGCTTCTGGAACATTGGATGAACCTACTAAGGAAAATTTATGTAAGATCATAAACAATAAAGACAATGGAACAAAAGGGTATGGATGGGCTGGAAGGAGTACTCACAGCAATGAGATCACTGATCCATTAATATCATGGAAAGATCATTGAATTCAGAATTAGAGGAGCAGGGTATAGGTTCCAGCTCTATTACTTACTATCTGTGTGACCTAGGGCAAGTACATTTCATATAGAAAACATTATCCTGTATCATAATTGTAAAATTGAAAAAGTTCACAAGAGTAGCAGACATGATAAGTTAAATTAAACTCTAAAATCAAAGCATAAAAATAAATTAAAATAGTATAAAAAGAATGAATATACATTGTAGAAAAATTAAATAATAAAATGGAATTTCATACCAAGGGTATTTCCAATGTTTGTTGTAATAATATTGAAAATTCTTCTTGAAAGAAATATAAAAGAATTAATTAAAATAGTAATTAAGTAAAAAAGACTGTAATTAAGTAATTCAAGCTCCAAAGAAGAGATAAAATAAAATTCTAAAGAATTTCAGAAAAAAAAAATCTATATTCCAAGAAGAAACATTCATTTCAAATAGAAAACCTGAATATAAAAATTATAGAACTCAACAAGCAGCAATGTTCCCCAAGAGTAGCAGATATTAAAGTTGAATCTAACTCTAAAATAAAAGCTTCAAAATGAATTTAAATAATATAAACAGAATAAAAATAATAGAAAAATTGAATAGTAAAATTTCATTATGAAGATATCTCTGATATCAGTAGTAATGCTGAGAAATCCTGTTTAAAAGAAACATGAAGGTAATAATTCAAACAACAGTTAAATGGTAATTATTATAAATAATTCAATAATGCACCTCCTAAAAGAGATAAAATAAAATTCTAAAACAAAGACAAAAAATAATCTGCATCTCCATTTGAAACCCCAGTTCAAGCAGATGTATGGAGGTGGAACATGCTTGGCTGTTGAGCTGGGACAATTTTCTCTCTGGGTTGCTGTGGAACCAGATGCAGCTCATGGCAGCAGAAACAGACACCTTGCCTATGCCATGCTCACTCATCTCTCAATACTTACAAACTTTCTGTTCTCCTTCCTCTCCCTTTGAATTGGAGAGAGATATGTCTTTCAGCCACAATCTTGATCAATTTAGTTAAAGCATTTCATGGAGCCAAGATAGTAGAGTAAGGCAAGAACTTGCCTGAACTCTCCCAAATTCACCTCAAAATGCTTGTAAAATAAAGCTTGACAATGAATTCTGGTGCAGCAGAAGCAGCAAAAGGATGGGATGAAATATAAAAATAGGAAAATTAAAAGTCAGGCTCAACTTGGAATTAAAAATTAAAAATAGGCTGGAAAATGAGCAAACAAACAAACAGGATCTGACCATAGAAATTATATATGGTGACAGGAAAGATAAAAACACAAACTCAGAAGAGGACAACAATGTCAAAATGGCTATGTGTGAAGCCTCAAAAAAAAAAAAAGTATTGGTCTCAGGCCCAAAAAGAACTCCTAAAACAGTTCAAAAAAGATTTAAAAAATCAGACAAGAGAGGGAAAAGAAAAAATTGGGAAAAGAAATGCAAGTCATTCAAGAGAATCATGAAAAAGGACTCAGAAAAAG